CTCTCTCTCTCTCTCTCTCTCTCTCTCTCTCTCTCTCTCCTCTCTCTCATATGTTCCTGGCACAGTTGACAGAGAAAGCCAGTAGCATCCAAATGTAGATTTCTATATGTTCATTCCTCAATAGAAGAAATAAGACCTCTTTGGAGACATGGAGAAATAGTTGAATTTAAGACTGGAATAGTTCACATGAAAGATGAATCTGGAACATCATTGTTATGGTTGGCCCCAAGACTTTCCCCCAAAAGGCTCATTGGGTTGGCTGCCAGCTGGTGGACTTTTGGGAAGTGATATAAATATGAGAGCTCTCACTTCAACAATGGATCAATGACTTCATAGCTCCATGGGCATATTGACAGCTGGGGCCTAATTGGATGAGGCAGATCACCGGGGCTGTGGTTTGAAAGGTTTTTTTTTGTTCCTGGTTCCTTCTGTGCTCTCACTCTTTCTCTTCTTTCTGGCTGAAATCGAGCGAGCAGTTTTCTTCTTCCATGCCTTGATGTTTTTGCCTTGCCACAGGCCCCAAAATAATGGAGTCAGCCAATTATGGACGGAAACTTCTGAAACTGTGAGCCAAAACAAGTCTTCCCCCTGTAAAGAGTTATTCTCAGGTGTTTTTTGTGACACTGATGAAAAGCTGACTAACACAATCATGAAGCCCTAGAAATTAAAGACAAAGAGTATGTTAAAAGACACCACGCTAGGGCTGGGGATTTAGCTCAGTGGTGCTGCTGCCCGCCTCGAAAGCACAAGGTCCTGAGTTTGATCCCTGGTACAAAAAAAAAGACACCATGGTGTTGCTTTCAGCAAGAGTCAGAAAATGAGAACCAGAGAGGACACAAGACTTATCTTTTTTCAACAACAAAAAACAATCACTGGGAAAAAGAGGTCATGTATACATGACATTGGCACAGAAATTTACAAACAAAGAGTTAAGAGGCATAACAAAAAATTCCTAGATATAGACCATAGTTTGATATTCATTCCAACAAACAACTTGTTTAAAAATAAAATCTACCAGTGTAAAATGTGTAACCATTTTACACATTATCATTTTATGATCATTTATTTACTTTTTAAAAATGATAATATGTTGGGTTTATATTTTATTTTAAAAATTCTTATCTTTTAGAACTGCATATTGAATATTCATGAATGGATATTTTCCATGTTATTCTAGTGGCTGAGATGTAGTAGCAGGGGGTATAACTGGTACTAGATTTGCCCTATGTTTAACATTGCTGATTTTGACTGGTGGGTACACTGTGTTCATTATACTAATCTCAGTATATGTTTGAGACTTTCTGTAATAAAATGTTTCTGTTACAAACACGATGACATTACTGGTGAAATGTACAGTTCCTATGTGACAATGACCACTTTTTAGCAATAAAATTAATAAATTATCCAACTGGCCTAAAAAGACAAAGAAAACATTGATTACACTGCAGGAAGTCAAACCGCATTCAGAGCTTAAGCCACCCGCAGATGTACCAGGACAAGATTGTTTGGAAGACCAGTTCCACCAGTGGTCAGAGGAAAATAGACATCACGTGATGTCAACCCTTCCACAGTCTGCAGAACTGGCATGGGTTCAACACACTGTCCCAGACTAGCCCTCCCAGAGTCATAAACCAGATTAGCACTCTCCAGGATAAGTACACTGGAGGCCAGCTCTCTCATGTAGCAGCAAATATCTCACATAAATAGAACCATGTCTAACAGAGTAGGGATATTTGAACAAATAAGATTGTTCAAAACAATGAAAATACAATTTAACATTAGGAAAAAACATTTCCATTTTAATTCTTTACAGAGAAAATATTTGATCATGTCAATGGGTATAGAATAAGCTTCTGAAGGAAGTTCAAAATGAGTTCATGCTAAGAACATTTATTCAACTAGTATAGAAAGGAAATTTCCATTTCCCCAAATTGGTAGCAAACAGACACAAATGGAATGTTAGAAGAATTATGGTTAAAGTTAGGAAGAAGACTACATAAAATATGTTATCATATGTATTTCTTTTCTTTTCTTTTCTTTTTTTTTTGGTACCAGGGATCGGACTTGGGTCCCTGCCCTTGTGCAGCAGGCGGCAAAACCGCTGAGCTCAATCCAGCATTGTGACACAAAGACAAAGCTATGGATATCAAAATAAGTGAGGGGTAATAATATTGAGAGAAAGTAATGTTTGGTGACAATACCATCACATATCTTGAAAATTCAAAGTAACAGGTATGGAATATTTAAGTGAATGAGATTTCAGAACCAAGTTGCCAGGTGATTGCTGTAGCAAATTGAAATCTTTGCAAAAAGCACTGTCTTGAGCAAGTAATAGACAATATGGCATTTAAATAGCAACTAAATCCTGGAAATATGTAAAAAAAAGCCTAACAAAAATATGTGAGATCTTTATAGAGACAGCTGTAAAACTGTACTGACAGATTCAGGTAAAAGAAGTGTGAAAAAAATAGAGCAGCATGCCATATTTATTGATGAGGAACAGAATGATGTAAAACTCTCAGTTCTCCTTACATTCTTTATTACTCCATGCCTTACCTGTAGCTGCCATAAGAACAAACAAACGTGGCCTGCTGTCTTGTGCTTTCTGACTTAACCACGGAAATCAAGAGAAAAGAGAGAGAAAAGCCAGGCATACCTCGGAGATTCAATGTAAACAACATTTTTTCTGAGGAAGGCCTGGGGGAGACTGAAGACTGCTGAACTGGTGCTTGTGTTGGGCAGGGGCAGGGAAGTGACGGAGGCTGAGGCCTGCCGATAGCCCAGGGTAACACTGGGACAGCAGGAAAATGGACACAGCATGGGTGGAGAGGCTGAGATAATAAGCACCTGAAACCACCCTAGTGGGTGAGGACCGGCTTTCACAACGGTCACGATTGTAATGACATACAAAGAATGTACTAGAAATACAGTAGCAGTAAAAAAGGGAACCGTGCATAGTGACAGTAGGTATTGTTTAATCAAATAAGCATAGGTAGCCTACATACATGCATGTGCAAATGTATTTGTATAAATGTATACTTAAAACACATCTCTTTTCCACATATGTAGTGGTGTATATGCAGGTGTACAACGGCACATAGGACTGCGTGCCTACATAGAAGTATAGTCTCCTTGGACACTTTTGACACTTTCTCTGTCTATTGATAAAGTCCACACAGGCATTTGGTAGAGAGGTTGCATAGCTTCCTGACTCTAATGAGCATTAAAAATGAAAATCATACTCTGGACTGTGAAAAGTTAGATCAATTCACAGAAGCCCGGGCTAGGCATGGTGGCGGATGCCTGTAATCACAGCACACTCGGGAGGCTGAGGCAGGAGGATCACCATGAGTTTGAGGCCAGCCTGGGCTACATAGTGAGTTCAAGGCCAGCCTGAATTAGAGAGAGACCCTGTCTCAAGACAAGACAATACAAAACACAAAACAAAACAAAACTTCACAGATGCTGGGCTCGTCCCAATCTCCTGCTGCTGCTCACCCTCTTCCCACTCAACATCAATTTTTCAGAAGGAAAGGGTGGAGAAGTCTGCCTCTGGCTTGGGAAGAGACCTCATATGAAGACATGGCTGTCCTTGATGAGGTCACCAAAACCCTGGACTCCTCAGCCTAGCTCCGAAAGCCAGCGCTGCAGACCCGGAGCAGCCGTGTCAGCCTGACCACGCCCCTCTCATAACATGGCTGCCCCTGTGTGGGGACTCCTGGAGATGGAGGGAAGCTGACTGAGGTGGTCAGGGCAGGGTCCAGGGGCTGCTGGGAACCAAGGCGAGACCCCCAGGAAGGACAGAGGGGACCTCCTAGTTCTACTCGTGCAGTCAGACCCTGCGCACATCGCCTGATGTGATCTCCACTGACTCCTCACTCTTGGGGTCAGATCAATGTGACGGATTTGTTCTGGGTTCCAGGCTTTAGATGAGGGCAGAGAGGCCCTGGCCTCTGTTTGGGAGTCAATGTAAAGGGCTGTGGGTGGAATGCAGAAGCTACAACCATAAGAGAAAGTCCACAAACAATTCAGATCTCCCTCACTTGTCAGCCGTGCGCCCCAGGGAAGGATTTTCAGTCAAGACCCCTTTCCACCTAGGAGACCTTGGGAGTCAGACCCTTGGTCTGAAGGGAACAGAGTTGGGTCTGTAGGGGACAGAGGCTCGGACTCTGCCCGGAACTGAAGTGGTGACTCTTACGGAGGCAGAACGGAACCCCCAGAATCCCTGTCCCTTCCTTCAGGTAACCCTGGGAGACCCTGGGAAAGTTCCCGGATGCGACCTCCCTACTCCTTCCAGTGCAGCCAGAGACCAGACAGGTCGTGCTCTGAGTTCCTCACTTCAGGTGAAGGGTGCGGAGTGACCAGTTGCCGGGAGTGAAGAAGCCCCACTCTGCAGACAGGGACCAGGAACGATCCAGATTTAAACGTGTTGTCAGCACTGTATCCTCGGGAGAAATCAGGGGGTGGGGTGTGTGTGGGGGGTGTGTGGGGTGTGTGTCGGGATTTGCTGCCTCGAACAGCTTGCAGTCAAAGCCGAGCCCCGAGGCTCCAGGCGGGAGGAGAGAGGCCCGGGCTCAGTTAGGTGAAGGTGCGGGCCGAGGGGCCTGTCAAACCCGCGTCCAGAGAGAAGGTCCTGGAACATTCTAGAAAGCAGCTACTTCCTGCCCTTCAGAGAGAGGGGCGGAAGTCTCAGGAGAGCGCCCCCTTTCGCCTCTCTGTGACCTGACAGGGGAGTCAGAGTCTTCTCTGGGGTCCGTGCTGCAAATCTGGGGAGCAGATAGCACCTGGCTCACTTAGGTCGAGGTGAGGGCTGTGGGAGGACAGAGGAAGCCTGCCCAGGCAGAGAGGGTCCCCCAGTACCCCAGATCAGCCACCCTTGTCAGCGCTGCACAGTCCAGTGCAGAGCTCTCAGCTGAGCGCCCTCTTCGCCTCCCTGGGACCTGAGAGAGTTACGGCCCTGTTCTGGGGTCCAGGGGTGAGATGGGGGAGCTGAGAGGGCCCAGGCTCTGTTAGGTCGAGGTGAGACGCTGAGGGCAGAGTGAGGAAGCCCCTCCCCAGCTGCAGGGTCCTACAGTAATGCCTCCTTGCTTCTGTTGTCAGCGTTGGCCCCAGGGCTGACTTGTGAGGCAACTCCACCCCCCCCCCAACACTTTTTGCTTAGGTCCCTGGGTGCCACAGCCTTGGTCTGCGGGCAGCAGACTGAGGTCGGGGCAGGACAGCGGTCCAGGAAGGAGGTCATCCCCACCTTAGACCCCAGCACACCTGCAGGTCAGAGCCTTGGTGTGACCGGGCACACTCGGGTAAGCAGGGCTGGGCTTCTGTGTCTGCCGGGGACCAAGGTGAGGACTGCAGGCAGGAAGGAGGGCCCCCTACTAGAGGAGCATCTTGGAGAGAGAGCATCTCTGCCCTGGCTGTCAGCCTGGCACTCCCTGGGCCCAGTGCCGGAAGGTGCAGTCCCCAAACTTGTACAGGTGGACTCTGAACAAGGTGTGACTGTTGGTTCAGAGAGGAGCAGGCCTTGAACTCAGAACTCTGAGTCCCCTGCAGAAGCCAGTCCTTGCTGAGAGTCTAGGAAAACCCTGTGCATGGTGCCCAGGCAGGTGATTCCTGACTTGTGCAGCGAGGGAGGATGGGACCATGTTGCCTCGGTTTGGAAACCAGTTGTGTCTTTAATTCTGACTCTAAAATCTAAGGCAGAAGGACTCAGAGCCTCCCAGGGATGGGCTCCTTCCAGGGCTCAAGGGCACAGCTTAGGGGAGGGCTCTTGAGGTGACCTTCCATTCTTGATCAGAGGGCCGCCTCCACCTTGCTGTCAGCCTGGGGTGGGGAACTCTTGGTGTCAGGGAGGGAAACCTTGGTCTGAAGAGAGTGACCACAGGGAGGTGATGGCCTTGGATTTCAGGATGTGTTCACAGATCAGCAGTGTCCGGACACCATCCAGACAAGGGAAGGCGAGGAAGCTGCTCCTTCTGTTAGGGTGGGGAAACCCTATGCAGGGTGTTAGGTAACTCTGTACTCTCTCTGCTGTCTCCTTGTTCTCAGGGACATTACACCCTGGTGTGGGGAGTGCCACCAGGTCAGCAGAGGAGCAAAGGTTGTTCAGCAAGAACACAAGGCCAGGATCTGCCAGAAATCAAAGTGAGGAACTTTGGTGAGGGCTGAAGGTATGAAGGTACCTCACACACATAAAATGTAGGGACCCCTACAAGATGCTAGTGTCAGCTCTTTTCACCCAGGGACCCTGGGAAGGGGGGCTGCATGGGGATTGCTCTATTTCTGCTAAGTGGGTGGGGGTGGGAGGACTCGGGGAGGCGAGGACCTTGGTCAAAGAGGTGACCGTGGGTCAGCAGAGGGAGCTGCACATGGTCAGCAGGCGGAGGACCCCAGGGGCTGCCAGCCCCAAGCCATGGGCCCTTCCTGAGGACTGAGTGTGTCTGCAGCCCAGGACCTAGGACTCCATAGGCTGTGCCTGTCCCCTGGGGTCAGCATGCTCCCCTCTCCCCGGGCAGGAAGGTGGGCCGTCTTCAGGGGATGAGGTCTGGGTCTCAAGGGGAGATCA